GAGTTTGGGGGAAACTGCACGTCATGTTGCGGACAAGCAAAACTCGTCACATGGGTGACAGTGTGTGTTAAGGCACAGCAGGGTGAAAACTGCAGGCATGCTAACTGCTGTTGAGGCTACAAAGCCTGCCAGCTTTCAAGGAGATGGGTGCAGGGAGAGTCTGGGTTCTGGGGCCCTGCAACTCTAGCTGCTGACAGGCAAAATTTGTGACATGGGTGGGTGACACCGTGTGTGTGTTAAGGTGTGTCCTCTCTTAACTTACACCAAGGCAGAAAGCGGGGCATTTCAAACTATCCTGCTTTTTATGTGGTTTTTCTATCCCTCCCCTAGAGCACAAGGATTGGAAGGGACCTCAGGAAAGGATGACAGTCACTGGCCAGCTACACAGTCATTAATGACAGCATTCCTTCCCCACCCTTCCCCTTTCTTTCCCTTCCCTCTCCTTACTTTACTTTCTGTTTCCCTGCAGGCAAGCCCAGCTTGAACTTTGAAACGTTTCGACTTGCCTCATTTTGTTTTAAGGCTGCTTCAAAGCTCTCCGTTTCATTTCGATTTTGCTGTTTTGAGCTTGAAACGAGTCGAAACAGCATCAAAACGAAATTGCTGGCGAAATTTTGCACAGCCCTATTGTATATTTGTGAAAATATAATAGCCAGCTGAATAGCCTATTTTATACCAGAGGTGGGGCTATATTATCTTAATAGTCCATTCTATTCCTAATATCTATGAAGAAAAGTGAGAGCACTGAGTAGGCTTCTGAGTGCATTGGCAAGATATAGAAAGTACAGGAAACCCCTGTTATTCGCAGGTTTGGCATTCATCATTTCAAATATTTGTGAAGGCCAAACCCACATTTTAAATACACTTTAAACTTACTGGAAGCATTAACAGAATCAACAACATAACAGTAGAAGAGGAGGCAGGGAGGAAACAGCTCCGAGCAAACATGAAGGCATCAATAGTGAGGGACTAGATGTCATGAAACACTGAATGATGGTAAAATGGCAGGGGCTGATGGGTGATTCTAAAAGAGATGATGGTGAGAGAGGGGAACCTCAACTCTAGGTATTAAGTGAAGAACCACCCCATAACTGAGAGCAAAATCTGTTGCCCAAAGCACTGAAAGCAAAGGGTATTTAATGCACATATAGTCATTCACACTTTTTTAAAGGACTCTATGAGATTTTAGTTGTGCAGTTCTCACTGATTGTAAGCCACACAGCTGAACTTCTGGACATCACATTGCTTATTTTATGATGATTCGTATAGGACCTTGATGATTTAAATTATATGTATTACATAACATCTGGAATAGTAAAAACTGACTTGGAAGAGATTGCTTGAAGAGAGAGTCCCATCGCACCATTCAGGGCACTGCTCCCAAGTAGTCATTTAATGTGTGACTGCTCCTCCATCTTGCCACCTTCTAACTCAGTGTATATAATGGTTCTATTTGGTGGTTGATTTTGAGATGCCCCAATGTTTCTTGGTATGTTGATAACACGTAGTTTCATGCATTCCTCTCGTTTGACCCACAGTGTTGGTAAGACTGTGGCATGAACAACCTGGTTGTAGACTGGTAGCAGATTAACAGTGGATGCTTTAATACAGAATATGACTGCACCACTTGTTCAGAGTTACAATACAAAGAGTCTGTATACAACAGCCATCTTCATATTTTTAAATCATTATGGAATGAAAAAACGGTATTACTACTTACTTGGTACATTGTTTTGTGTTAACTTCTCTACACCAGTCGTGGACATGAGGATTATTCTGAATTGCTGCTGAAGCTTTTGCTAATGACATCTTGATATTTTTGGGGTGGCAACTTCATCAAGACTTCATCAAACCTAATGTCATCTAGGACACAAAAGATCTTCAGTTTATAGGTATCTGATACAGAGGTCCCAATCACAAAACATACTTTAGAAACCACTTGTCCTTGTGGCTGCTCCTGGGGACTGAATATGTTTATAAATACATTTTAATGTCCTTATTATACAGAAAGAATGAAAATAGATTTTGTTTTGAGAACTGGGCAAAATGAAAATAGATATGATTATTTATTCTGTTCGTGCACTTATGCTACACTTCTCACCCTCGTATCTGACCACCTGCTCTCTCCAAAATGCTCTGTTCACCCTTAAAACAACTACAGATTGATTTATTTATTTAGATATTAGCAGGTTCTCTTAGTCTGAAAGTGCATATTTTGCCTTTTCCTTGCTCCAGGAAGAACACAGTTAGTAATACAATGTTCATTTTTAAGTGAAATAGTAATGCAAACTTCAATGAAGCAGCAATAAACACTTAGAATATTAGTTTCATTTGTAAACTGTATCATGCCAGGACAGCAGCCTTTTATTTGCCCTTGTTTTGATTCTCCAAAGGCATTTTCTAAGTCAGAGTTTTAGTTCTAATGCATTTACATAATCCAGCTAAATCTTGTTGTACAAAAGACTTCTTGTCTCAAAAATCTATGAATTGTAATAATTTAAGAATATAGGAATAGTATAACAAGCATAGGCAACAGTCCATCTAATCTGGCCTATTTGGCAGTTGTCACAAGAACCTCTAAGAGCTGAAACTCAGGCAGTAAGATACCTTTTGCAGGAAATCTACTCAGGCACAATAGTAGACCTTGCATCTCAATCCTTTTTTGCAAAAACATTTTTAATTTTTTTTTTTTTAAATGAACCAGATATTTGGGAAAGTGTTTGTTTTGAAAATGCTGACAAATGGTGTTTCAGAAGTAAATACAGGTCCTGAGCATGGACCAGTCAAGCAGCTGATTCAGAGTTACCTATCCATCAGTTTCATTGCTGTTACTGGCAGGGACTGGGGTTCTCAGGGTTTTTTGGCTCCAAGACAGTTCTGATGTGTGGAGTACTTTGGAGCTAGAGATGCCAGGATTCCAGATTCCTAGGCCAGCTGGCTTCTCACACCAGCTCCTCAGAAGTCTGAACCTCTACTGTGATGCAATGAAAGTTCATGAAAAATTTCAGGTCCTAAAAATTGGCATTTTCTTTTTTGCTGGAAAACTTCTGATTAGTGCTATTGAGCACAGCAAGCTTTTACACCGTCCTGGCATGGCAGATTGTTTTAGGGGTACAAAGATGGAATGGCTAATGAACACACTGCATTCTGGCAGTCTCCACATTGGGATATTAGAACAAACTCCATCCAGGAAAAAAGGCAGACAGAGCACTTGCTGGGAAATCAGAGATAACTACACCCACATATTGGGTATAGAAGAGAGAGAAGTAACAACCATCAGCACCGATAAGAAGCAAATGTCTTATGATCCAGTCTCTACCCTCTCAATCTGTGGAACGTATTTGCAGGACATAAAACTTAATTAAATTACAAAAATATAATGCAGGGATCTTTTTAAAGTTTATTTTTGATAGTTGGAATTGTATCTATAGCTGTCCTTTCATGATTCCACTTGTTCAATTTTAACGTACAGTAAAAAAAAAAAGTGAACACACCAGATCTTTTTGTGACCTAGATACACTAAATCTTCATGATAAAGGTCAATCATTACTGAAGGAAAGCCACAGAAAGATTGTACAGGAAATATATAAAGAATGACTTATCAGTAATTATATGTGCCCTCTTCTCTTTTCTCCTAATCCTGCAAACCAATAAAGCCCTTGAAACCAGAGACTGAAGAAAACACCTACCAGAAAACAAGGAGGCAAACCTGAATCATAAGTCAAAGAAAGCACATAAATAGTTTAACTCTTTTGTATGCAGAAGTTTTCTACAATAAAATCAAAACTACATAATAATCTAACAAGTGAGAAGTGATTAGATTGAGAAGAGAAAAGACTATGACAATTGCTGGAAATTTTTGGGAGTAGGAAGAACAATTGCTGACAGAAGTCACCTAGGCCTATTTTAAGCAACAGCCTCAAGAACTGCTTTTATGTGGGCCTCAGTAGAGGAAGTATGTCTGCTTTTCAGTGGGATTCAAGGATATGTCCATGCATCAAGATGCTTAGATTTCTAGAGGAAATGGCTTTTATTTAATCAGAAAGACTAATAACTGTGAAGCAATCTTGCATCTGGTAGTAAATTTAAAATAAACATCACTCTTTTACTCTTTAAACGTGTAAGTGGAAGGTTAATTTTGCCAATTCTCCTAGCAGGCACAATGGTATAAAGACCATTTTTAATGAAGGAAGGTGGATCTACATGTTCCACTAATGTGCAGTAATAAATTGTGGAGCATATTGCTCCTGGGAACCTCCTGGGCATGCGCTTTAAAACATGCACCCGGATCACAGCACATTGAGCCAGGTTTCAGCCTGCCAGTCTAGGGCTGCTCCAACTAAGGCTGCATGTGCTGTGGAGGGGTTGGCTGGGGCATGACGGTGCTTCAGCATGGAGCAAGCTGGCAGGTACCCCCTACACTGAAGCACCCCTCCACACCCCTTGTAACCCAGGCAGCCAAGTCAGCAGCTACATGGGTGCTGCGGCGCACAAAAAACCTCCGCAACAGGGTAGTACTTGTATTAGCAACTACTACCCTGCCCGGAGTTTATTAGCTTTATGTACACTAGTAGGGGCACATGTGTAAATGCAGAGACATTTACTGAGCAGTTAATCAGTCAACTGGCAGTAAATGTCTTATGTAGATATGCCCAGAAAGTACAGTGGATTTTCTTCTGCTGCTTCTCAAGGTTGTCTTGTAAGAAGATGGAAGCTAAAACTGAAAACACTAGGGTGTACTGAGCACTTAGTACTTTTGGAAAAAACAAAAACAGGGATCAACACACTTATGTAGGTGCCTGAATATGAACATGAGAGTTAACAACAGGCACCGAGTTTTGAAAATGATTATTTGGCATGCCTACCATTTTTATAATATTCTAGTTTCTGTTAAGCTTTTTTACATGCTCCTCATATATTAGTCAAGTTTCTCTTATCTTTAATATACTTTTTCTGAAATACCCCAAGGGAAGAGGTAGCAAAATTAAAACAGTTAGATGTCTGCTGAAAAGCAAATATATTTATTATGCACTTTTCATATACATAGGGATTTTTGCTTAATATAATACAAGGAATAAAATAAAAATTTTACAATGTGAAATTCATTCAATGTACATTGTAGGCTATTTACAACCCAAACCAGGAAAAACAGTCTATCTTCAAACCAAGTTAATTGAAGAGTTTGGATGGAGGATAGTAAGCATAAGACATTTGCATAGCAGAGTAACTGATGAAAGAAAACATTATTTTATTTTTAAATAAATGGTAATACTTTTAATACTGATCACAAAGAGGACAAAAGACATCATTTGCCTCATTATCTTTCAATATGTTTTTCTTTTGAAGACTTTCTCCACATGCATACAGTACTGATGTTAATATTCACAAGGCAGTCCTTTTCCTAACTTGTCCATCATGACTCTGCAATCTCATTTGGATGGTTTAAAGGGAATCAATGAAATGGACCAAGGGAAAGAGGACTAATGGCACAGTGATTTATATTGTAGTCAGAGCTGGATGAGACAAAGACTCTGACCAGCAAAACTCTGCTGAGTTACAACCACCCAACCCTACTGATTTCTAGATGACTGTATGAATGTAAAAGAGCAGAAAGTTACCCAATATTTAAAAATTCCAAATGGAATTGCTAACATTTGGGGGATATTCATTTTGGGTTTTTTGCATGGGAGAAAAACTATGATAATAAAATCATACACAAAAAACAATATGGAATATTTCACACCCTTGTCAAACTGGATGTTTTAATAGAGCTGTTCATACTCTACTCCAAAACAATACTTAATCTGCAGGAACTGTGTTTTTTATTATTATTATTATTATTCTGAAAGTAACTTTTCAACAGGTCTTTCAGTTGACTTGTTAATTAATATGTTGAGTTTCCCCACCAACTGTTTCAACTGTAAATATTATCCATACAAAAATGTAAAGCTGTCTGGAAATGGTAGCCCCTTGTGAAACTGGCCATATCTGTGCATTCTGGCACAAGGTGCATTTTGTAATAAAACAATAAGATTAAATAAATATATCCCAATGACAATCAAGGTCAGTAGAAAAAGTAAGCCTTCAGGAATCTCTTTCTACAGAAACAAAACATACACCTAATAAGAAAGAAATGCTTTATTCTTGCACAGTATTGCAAATGCACTGTACTTGAGGTTCAGAACAAGTTTGATGAAACATTTTGGCCCTCTCTCCTTATTAAGCCATTAACATTCTTAAGGCTATTTTGCAAGAGTTCCATCATGTTTATTTTATAAATGTCCCACAGGGACAGAAGTTCAATACTTGAAACATTCACCTCAGAATTATTAAATATTGCTGTGTGTCAACTTTTAACATTACATTTTACTACACACTGAATGCCTGACTATAAAAGGTTTTCTTTTTACATTTAATAACGTAAGTAAAGAATGAGGTGCATTGCTTAAAAAAAAATCAAAATTTATGTATATTCTATTGACTGTTAATTTTGACAATAAAATATTTGGATGTTAGCCCCCCAGAATGTGTAAGTATAGCATTAAATGTCAATTTATCTAAATTTATGAATAGATGACATAATCCAATTCAACAGTTATGAAAACTCATCATGACAACTTTGTATCATACTATTCTGGGAATGACCTGAATTGTAGCAAGAGAAAAAATTAATCTCAGGCCTTTAAAGGAAATACTCGTGTAGAAAATGATTTTCATTTTCTAAAGGGCAAAGACATATAAAAGTGAACAGTATAACATAACTTGCATTTTCAGGAACAAACAACTGTTGTATGACCCGTGAGTGATGCAGTTAAACCATTAGTGAGCTTTGTATGTTCCTCCTTCTGGAATGAAAGGGGATTCATACTGTCACTTGTCAAGCTAAGCAGGTCTAATTTTGCTTCCTCATGCAAGTGTCACACAAGTAAAAAATTATGTGTTTTTATTTAGAGTTATACCTGATTTATGAAGGTGTAACCAAACACAGAATCAGGCCTTATATTATATCTTGTAATACAAAAACGCATAAAGCAACTTAACTTAAATGTTTATCATACAGTAATTTGGGCTATTCAGTATGGCTACATTTTGGCCCCGAATATACAAACGTGGTTCCTATCATCTTCAGTGGTAGCCAGTCTATAACACCCAGATTTGGTGTTCTATAGATTAGATTTTATAATAAAAAAATCCCAGAGGTTTGGTATGTGATTATAAACTTGTTCCTTTTTACCGCTAAACAGAGTTGTTTTACAGATAGAACACACAAGTACTGGAGTTTATCAAATACTGTAACAAGACTTATTTTTTCTTGAGAGAACTTTTGAAATACACAGGAAACTGACCATACATTACAGCAATGCAAATGTGATTTAAACTGTATGCTTAGTTTCTTTTGCCACAGGAAAATAAATACAAAAAGCACTGCCTTTCTATACACAGTCCACTGTGGCACATGCACATTTATCAAGCATTCTGGAATAGGAAATCAAAAATTCCTTGCTTTTACAACTTTCAGCTGTTGTCAGGGGAAACAGAGCATGTATCTTTCTGCAATTAACAAAAAAAAGTGCTTATTCTGTGTGGTAAGTACAAAGTACACAAAATAAATTTCTGAAGCACAGAGGGTTACACATCGAGAAGGCAGCCTTAAAATTTAGGCACATTACAGTAATTAAGGTAACTGTACTGCAATAATCACATTCTTAGTTTTATAGTTGGACTAACAAGCATCATATGCTTTCATCCCAGCCAGCTGATTAATCATTCCCAGCAGAAGCACTTCTATTCATAGCATCTTGAATTCGCCTAAAATGCAAAATAAAAATGTATTTTAGAATTTTCCATATACATACAGGACCTGCAGAAAAACCAATACATACCTAATTTCTATTAAAAGATATGTACAAAAATATCTGCAGGTCTTGAAATAGATATTTCTTGACAGATACAAGCACAGAACTGCATACCCATGCAGACATTTAGAGGGGTTCCAAAACAATTAAAACTTTTGAAGGCAATACAAAAATAAGGAACAAATAATAAGATATGGTGCTCCATTCAGTTAAATTCTTGGAATACTGCTGGCATTGGTAAAATATTATTTGCCAGCATGATATTCCACAGGCAGGTCATTCATAATAACCTAGATCAATTTGTGAAGCAAGGCTCAGAAAACACACTAGTTTACGGGTCAGTGAAAGAATATTTTTTCTGGCAAAGGAAAAGATAACTTTAAAGCAGTGTTTTTTAACCTGTGGTCTACAGACCGTGGGGGTTTGCAGGCTATGCCTAAGGGATCCACAAAAGATGACCATGTTCAATCAAAAGTATGTGAATACCCAGACTTACAATTCAAAGGGGTCTGTACCTCCATTCAAAATTTCCAAAGGGGTCCAAGCACCTCCAGTCAAAAGTTTTTAGGGGTCCAGAAATTAAAAAAGGTTGAAAACCACTTCTTTAGAGCAACAGCCTGAACTTGCATATTGGGCAGGTTGCCTGACACTGGTCATAGCCATAGGACATTTTGCTTTCCACAGGCATATGGTTCTTCAGGCTTACATGAGGAGCAAAGTAGGATGTTGCTTGTTGCGCATTACTTGCTCAGTATTGTTGCGCATAGGCCAGCAAGAGTTGAGGACCATGATTTTAGAAGCTACGCCATGAGGGCAACTATCAACACAATCATTTTACTTTTAAAACCAAGTTGTGTGAAATGATGAAAGAATATTAAAAGCCACACTTGTCATATGTCATTGTATGCACCATATGCTGGGACAAACATTAAATGGAAAAAAGGTTTCTACCCTAAATACAGTAAGGTTTTTGTCAATCTACAGTTTCTAATTGTATGCAGGTTCATAGTTCAACATTCTTTCCTCATATTTTAAATACATCTAAAACAGAATTTTAGTTTACCAGTTGAATGACTGCATCTATGCTCTTGCAACAGTAGTGGTGTTCTGATGACATGGCTGAGTGATTTTAACACACCTTATAATCAATGTTGCATTTGATTTCATTTAGCTATTGTTTACAGGATAGTATTTGGGTACATGCACTACAAACAGACTACACAGTGGGCATGTCCCCACAAGCAGAGCATGCGTTTCCTCAGGGACAAATAGCAATGGCACAAATTTGTGTCACTTCCAGTTGTTCCTGGGGAACACCCCTGCATTGTGTGCTCTGGTGCATGGCAAATTGCCCTGGGTGGGGTAGGTGAGGCTGAGGCCAGCACCTGGGTTGGCCCCAGCAGTCTTACCTGTGGTCCTAGGGGCCTCTTGGGGCTGCAGTGGCAGTAATCTGGGCAGGCTCTGCCTGCCCAGAAGCTGGAATGTGGCTCTGGCTGGCCAGGCTCTGGTTTTGAGTGGCGCACGCTGCAGCCACGTGAGCCGTGCCACTTTTTTTTTTTTTTGCTATGTTTTTTGTTTTTTTTTTTCCACACTGGGATTTCCCACTGTCAAAAAAGCTTGCCATGCTGCAAATCAGCAGTGTGGCAAATGCGTGAACACAAAGCACATGAAGTTTATGGTGCCACAGGCAGGTTTCCGGCATCACAAACTGCACATGTGCACTTGTGGGGATGCACCCAATAAGCCATTGAATATTCAGGACTTTAACCTTTTAAAATATTGAAAGGGAACAGGGAAAGTTTTCCAAAACGTATTAGTTAATAAGGAGACAAAGTCCCATTTTTCAGAAGTGACCGACACTTAGGGTGGAATCCTATTTCTCTTCACATGCCCAAATGATACTAACCCAGCAGTATAACTACCATTTTTGGCACTTACAGACAATCTGTGATCCAATTCCACATGCAGTGTAGACACACAAGTGTCCATCAGCTACAGGGTGCACTTTGGATGGACATGCACACAACTCTGTGAATACCTGGATATAATTATGGAGTGGCAAAAACAAGATGGAGAGGTGTACCACAACAGCCCAGTGATTAGGGCACTTGCCCAGGATTTGAGTACCAGCTTCTAAACCCCACTCAGAGGGTTTGAACCAACATTTTTCTAACTTCCCAGCACAGTGCTCTAACCACCAGACCTCAGGTCAGGCATTATTCAGTGTCCTTTCCAGCCCTCCTCTTGATGCTGAACCACTGCACCTTGCATTTAACATTAATTGGCCAAAATGGATAAATAGCACACATTGAAGCAAGGGTCCAGGCTAAAACTTGGGACCACCCCCACCTTTCCACAGCAGATGCCATCTCACTGAAACACACATGCTTTGGCTTTTCCTTGTCCTCCTCCTAGCCCCTCATATCTCCCTCTCTTGGATGTCCAGGAAGCCAGCTGCTCTCTATCCATTTTATCCAATGACTATGAAATGCAAAATGTAGAAACATCAAGTTACCCCTGACCTGTTTCCATTCTGCTTCAATATTTTTCCTTTTGGCTGTTCTACACTACCAGCATCCAACCATTAGTTTTAGTTCTGTGACTAACATTTTGGGGATTTACACAAGCTGCACACCTTCCAGGGTGGAATAAGATCCAGTAGAGTATAAAAGCCAGAACAGATCCTTTCTGAACATGCTAAGGAGAGGATAAGCTGTGCAGAGAGAAGAGACTCCAAAACCCCCAAGAGACATTGATTTGAAGGTACAAAGGGATCTGATGCCCATCCCAATCACGCAAAAGGTGTAACTGTTGGGGCTGTGGATCATTTGCACCATCTTGCTTGCAGGAGGAGCCTGGGATCAGCTGGCAGGGGCCACCCTGGGACTGAAACCACTGGGCAGCCCCAATCTTTCCCAGGATCAGCTGACTGAGACGGCTCTGGGGCTCAAGTATTTGATTTCATTTAGCTATTGTTTTCAATCTGCTGATTGAAAACAACATTGCTGATTGAAAACAACATTGGCTGGTTCTGCGGACCATATAGGGGCTTGAACTAGCCCTATGCATTCCAGGAGCCAGCTGACAGGCCACTAATTGTCATGTATCTGGTTTTCAAGGTGCAATGGAAACTAGCCACAAAGTTAGTCCACATATTTTGTGTAGTAACTCTGTGGCTGGTTTCCTGTTTTATTGCACCATTAATCCCCTGAACATTTGGCTGGTTTACACTTTAAGATGTGATTAACTGGTTATGTGGCTTGAAATCCACATAAGTAGTCCTAAATGCCACTTACATGCTTAAAACATAAGTTGCATTTGGGCCATAAGAGTCTAGGTCCTATTGATGTTTAATAAGATCAGGAATGTGCCTTTGAAAATTCTACCCAAACTAACCAACTGGAAATAAAATATAGCTATATTTGCTGTATAATAGTAGACAGTTTAGAAAATCTAGGTTGAAAATGTCCCTTTTCTTAACCATCCACTCTATCACAGACTTTAGGGAAACAGCTAATGTTCTGGGTCTCTCTTCTTTATAATATACCTCAAAAAATAAATTTGCAATGATGAAATAACCTAAGACTTATACGTTAGTAAAAATTACTTCTATTATCCAGGACAGCTTGGGACAAACACGCTTGAGTTTTGCTAGCTCAAAGCAAGATTTAGGAATGTCTAACTCATCAGGTGACTTTGAAACAAAGCTCAATCTTCAACTGTCCACAAAAATTCTTTGTTGACTTGCTGCAAGACTGAGCCAACTAACAAGAACACTTCTGTTCTAAGAAGGAGCAATCTGGCCTGTCAGAATGGTAATATTCATGTAAACAGTGAAAAGAAATATTATGAGGAAAAAAAGGCAATGCACATAGAGTAGCTTTCGCATTTCAGAAAGATGTTGGAGTTCAAATGTTGTTATTAATATAGCCCTGGAACCTTAAACAAGAAACAAACTCAAACCTTATTAGGATTTGGGGAATAACAGAGATGGAGAAAAGAACACTAACTCTTTACTGACTCTGTTTGTCCAAAAAGGGTATTCAAACCCACTAAATTTTATATTTATGATGTATTAAGTAGAAAGTGAAAAACTTAATTTAGTTTTGATTTTTAAATTCTACTCAGTAATGAATGTATGCAAAAGCATGTCCCATACACAAAAAAACTGGTCCCATAACACTGAAGTTCGTTGTCCAATGAGCTCCAAGCAGGCAATTCCTATGCACACATGGAATACCAGATACTTTAAAAGACGGAACTTATGTTGTACTTTTTGCAACTGTAAGACCAGGCAATCGTATTTAATTTTCAACTTGTAAGAAAAACATATTCTAAGATTTGTTAGTTCACAAATATAGCATACTTAACTATAAATGTGTAAGATGCTTCAACAGTATCTTGAAATTGTATATGTAACCATGAATACATTTCAATCTAGATGGGCATTCAGATTTTATAAAATGTTAGCTTTGAAAATATAGCTAGGTATTTTAATATGGGTTCTTCTTTTCAGAAGAAAAGAAACCCCCAGACTAACACGTACTTCTTACAGTCACTTGTCAAAAGCAGTAAGGTGACACCTGACCCTGTAACAATTCAAAAGAAAGAAATACTGACTATCCAACTGTTTTATTAAAAAAAAAAAAAAGTCAGCACATGAAAAAAGGACTTTCAGTTTACAATTTTCATTCAAAACATGGCTGATTTATTAAAAGGTATTTAAAATGCACATGCTATGCTTCCCTCCAATTGTTTTACCTTTTACAATGGTGTTTCCTTTTTGTAATTGAAGCTTGGGTCATTGCTCTCAATCTGAAGTTTTAAGGCTTGCTTAAGGCTTAATTCTGTCTCTGCAGGAGGATAGCCTTCCAGAACTTCCTGATGTCCTCTGTCCTGTACTGTTCGTGGGACAGAAACTCTCCCAAGAAAAACCTGATTGCTCTGAAGATGATAATTTGGGTTTGTCATTATTCCATTTCTCTTCTTCTGTTCCCCACTCTGTTGGTGAATTAAGAATTGTTGCTGAGATCGACCAACTTCCTGCTGAGCTGGAGGAACTAAAATTTTGCACTGAGGCTCTGCTGGCATTGCTTTAAGTGGTGCACTGGTCCCAGATTTGGCAATAGGTCCTCGTTTATCAAACTGAGTCATTTCATATTCTAAAACTTTTGGTTGAGAGGAGCTGCTCTGCTTAATCTTTTTCCCAGCAGAGCCAGATTTGCTGGAGTTTTCTGTCTTCCCTCCTTTGTTTGCTTTAGTTGATTTCAAACTAGGTTTTACTTGGCTCCATTCAAATTCACTACTTGGTGAATTATGGTTCTGACTTAATGAATGAGTAGTGGATGAAGGAGAAACAATCGACTGCCTGCTTCTGCTACGTGGCAGTGAATGTTGCTGTATTTGTTCCGTAAATGACATACTATGGAAGCTATCAATGGGAACTGTTTGTGCGGTTGCTGTAGATGAGGTGGTACGTAGAGATGAGTTTTTGGAACTTTTCAGGGAATTATTTGATAAGGATGATTTCTGACGGTCAACTGTAGAATCTGGCGATTCTGAAGGAGAACTGAAAGCATGAGCAGGCCCATTAGACAAACCACGCATAGCAGGCTGCATATCACCTCCACCAGTGCTCCCTGAACTATTTGATTTTATTGTTAATGACTGCATTTTTGATGAGACTGACTGCAAGGGCTTTTGTTCCATTGTGTGGACTGGAGATGGAGTGCAGCCATTTAGACTAGATGCACCATATTTTTCCAGTAATTTAATAATTTGAGAATGTCCATTTTTGGCTGCAACACGCATAGCAGTGCGTCCAAACTGGTCTGCATGATTTGGATCAGCACCATGTTCCAGTAAAATTTGCACAACATCAATGTGTCCTTCTTGGGCTGCAATGCAGAGTGCAGTAGCACCTTGATTACATGTATGGTCAACTAAGGCTCCATGCTCGATCAAAAGCTGAACTACCTTCACATGACCTTGCCATGCAGCAGACTGCAAAGCAGACCTTTTCTCATTATCTGCAGCATTTACATCTGCATGGTATGTTATTAGTAACTGCACCATCTCCAAATGGCCCTGCCAGCAGGAAACATGAAGTGCGGTCCTTCCCTCAGCATCACTTGCTTCTACATTCGCACCATTTTCTAAAAAATACTCAGCCATGGTAAGCTGATTTTCTAAAGCCAAGATATAGAGCGTTGGCCGACCATCAGCATCTTTGTAGTTCACATCTGCTCCGTGGCTAAGAAGCAGTTCAACTATATCTCTGTGACCTTCTAGGGCAGCAACACGGAGAGCATTTCTCCCATCATAGCCTCTCTGATCAAGGTTAGATTTATTTTCCAGTAATATCTGTACACAATCATAGTGACCTTCTTGTGCAGCCAGTATGAAAGGTATACGCCCATCATTATCAATTTCATTTGTTCTAGCACCTTGTTCTATAAGTGCTTCACATATCAGCCTGTGGCCTTCAAAAGCTGCCATGTGCAAAGGTGTCCATCCAGCATCATCTCTATGATTTTCATCTAGCCCTCTGTCCAGCAGAGTACGCACTACTTCAACATTACCTTGTGCAGAGGCTATACTAAGGACTGTTCGCCCTTCACTATCAATGCTATCTACAGCTGCACCCCAAAATAAAAGAGTATTTACAACTGAAGCATGGCCCATGGAGGCTGCTGCAAGAAGGGGTGTACGACCATTGTTGTCAGTATGATCTACATCAGCTCCTCCTTCTAAAAGTAAGTCAACAACATCTACATGTCCTTCATACGCAGCTACCAGCAATGGAGTCATACCATCTTTGTCACAATGATCAACTTCAGCACCACGGTCAATTAAAAGGCTAACTACTGAAGCATGTCCCTTACTAGCAGGTACACAAAGTGCAGCAACAGACAGAGCAGTCCTTCCATCCACGTCCTCATGATTTACTTCTGCACCATGGTCCAGCAGGTGCTCCACAATCTCTTTGTGGCCCATATATGCTGCTGCAATCAAAGCTGTTCGACCTTCATTATCAGCTTTGTTGACTTCAGCACCATGCTGTAGCAAATTCAGAACTATATCTTCATGTCCTCCCCAGGCTGCTGCTCTTAAGGCTGTTCGACTGTCAGCATCTGCACAGTCCACTTTTACTCCAGCATAAAGAAGTGCAGAAACCACTTCAGTGTGACCCCCCCAAGCTGCAGACCGTAATGCTGTCCAACCATCATGATCAGTGTGATTCACATTAGCCCCACATCCAATCAAACAATTAACAACCTTGGTATGTCCTTGTCGAGCAGCTAAAGTAAGTGCTGTTTGCCCATGAGTATCTTCTATCTCTAAATCTGCTCCCCTAGAAACAAGTAAATTAACTACATCAAGATTGCCACTATACGCAGCATTTGCTAAGAGTGTTCTCCCATTTGAATCACACTGGTTAACTGATGCTCCATTATCTAACAGAGTCCTAATGGAATCTTCTCTTTCCAGAGCCTGCCGTACAATGCAAGATGTTCGGTCATCTTCACTGTTGACATGAGCACCAGCTTTTACTAGTAGCTGCAGTACTTCCTGTTCTTTAGGGATTAAAGTGGATAAAGAGTCTTTGACAGGTGTGCCATTCCATATCATCCACAAAGCCAACTCAGAAGTCTCTAACTGCAAATTTGAGTTAATTAGATGCAATGCAAATTCTTGAGCTTCTAACGGTGTCAAATCCTTGGCTCGACAAGTATAACTCATTGCTAGCATTCTATGTCCTTCTGCAGCATTACATAAGTATTTCTGTGTACAGTGCTTTACATCCAACAGCCATTCTGCAAAACTGTAGTGAAACAAAATTTTTGTATTTCCTAGCCCATCAACAAGAACTTTTGATAGAACATCTAATTTGCGTTGAAAGTCTTCCATAGTCAATGTCATGTTTTTGGTCCACACTGCATGATACAATTCTGTTGTGGTCAGTGGCCTACAAGCTGCAAGAATCACGTTCAGAATGGGCTGGACCTTTGCAAATTGTTTTCTCACAAAAAGTCTTTGACAGAGCCAGAGATATAGGCCATTTAATGTTCCAGGAATGTCACGGATCTCTCTTAGCATAATAAAATTTTCTACAACTCCATCTAGAACACGTTCTAGATACAAAAAGCAACCACTACTTTTGATGTGAAGCTGGTTCAACATTTCTGCAGTTTCTTTAGTAAGATGCTGTCTCAGTGCTTCTTCTTGATCTAGACGATGGAGAATATATTGTTGCACATCTTTCACAATATATGCCTTTCGGAGATCATCCAGACTTATTTTTCGAAAACCTATTTAAAAGACAAAAAAAGGGATAAAGTTCAATGAATATTGCTTCAGGTTTAGTTTCAGAATGGTTTTGATCATTTGAGACTCTCAAAAAGGAAGACTTTTGGATAGGAAGACTGGGGAATACAAACAACAGCAATGCATTTATTGTACCTTGGATACTAAATCTAAAGAGGCTGTGAATTTTGCTATGATACTGTACCTCTAATATATACTGTATCATACTCTATGAACACAAAAAGTATACATAAAGAAACATTCTTAAATAGGATACTGAAGTCAGGTGTTTTCTCTCTTTAAGAAAATGTCAGGTACCTTAAAAGCACATGAATACATTATCACAAATATGAAATAATGACATGCATCCTTTAACAACTACAACACTTTCTAATTCTGAAGTTTAAGAAATTTAGAAAAAAGAAAAAGAAAAAGCACCAAGGCTAATATTGAATAAGATGACAGGCAACACCGACTAGGAAGAAATATTTTTTAAATCACCAGGCCTGTAAAATTTACACTGAAGAGTCCTAGAAGAGTTGACTGAGATGACATCTGGTACAGTGATATTAATTTTAATGAAGTTTAAAACTTGATGGAAATTCTGAAAGACTAGAAGAGTGCTATTACTGTGCCGATATTCAAAGAAGGGCAAATAGGATGAGGTAGCTACAGTTTAGTTTTATCAATTCCATGCCAAATTAGACAAGTGCTGATACGGGATACAACTGATAAAATAAGAAGGCTAGCAATATAATAATGCTGATTAATATGACGTTATGCAAAATAGGCCTTATCAAATAAACCTGATTTAACTGTTTGATGAAATTACAGGTACGGTTAATGAAAGTAACTGCAGAGACAGTGTGCTCAGGTTTCTGAAAAGCATTTCCTTTTCTACTATATACCACCCAATTAAAAATAAGCACTATGCAACATCAATAAAACACACAATGGATGGATTCAGTACTGGCTGACAGATCTCAAAAAATAGTAGTCAGTGTGAAATTGTCATCAAATGGGAATGATTCCAGTTGGGTTCCACAAGGATAGGAATTAGGTTTCACGCTATTCAGCACTTTCCTGATACATATTAAATAACTGACCAAATTTCCAGAGGACTCAAAGACTGATGGAGTGGTAAGTATAGTGTGGATAAGGCAATCATACAAAGAAATCTAGATCTCTTGGTAACTTGAGTCCATTGAAATGTGCATTAACACAAATATAAGTTAAGCAAGTAGGAATAAGAAATACAGGCCATGTCTGTAAAATGGGGATTCATACCCTAGTGACTCAAAAAAGGAAAAGCAATTCAATTCCTCATTAATAGGGACCTACCTAAGTTGCAGCAAGATAAAAGGTTTTTCATGGCCCACTTCATGAGCATTTTACGGTGGCCCTGCCCCTCACTGCTGATTGGCAGAGGGTGCCTTCACTCAGTCTGCATCACTACCGCTTTTTTGGGGGTCAGTTTTGTGGGAAATTGCAGCCAGTGCTGGATTTCCCAGCAACTGTGAACAACACTGTTTTATGCAGTTTCCACAAAATCCACAAAACCACAATTTAGGTAGATTCCTAATCATGAACTCCCAGTGCAATTATGTGGCAAAAATGTGATACTCTGATGTATAAACAGGAAAACAATGAGTAAGTACAGGGACGTGGTTTCATATGATATTGTTCAGACCCAAACTGATAATACTCTAGAATTAAAGGCTGCATTCAGATATTTTTTTTTAAAAACTGGCGCTTTACTTTAAACCCACACATGCCCAGAAGAGGCAGCACCTTCGTTGGACCCAGCTTGCCTGACATCTGTACAGATCCAGTGCTTTAGTGGGGCTTTTTCGGTGCTTTTATCTAATAACTGACTGAATCAGCTTTTAGCTAAAAGCGCCAAAAGCCTTGGTGAAGTACCCAATCTATACAGATGCTGCAGAGCCAGGCTGAAATAATGTGCTGTTGCTTCTGGTAAAGCACTTTTTTTGTTTGTTTTTTTAAAGTCTGCAAGCAGCCCTAGTGTACACAGGTTAAAAAGGATGATGAAAAATAAGAGGAAAAAAAGAAAACCACCACTGAAATAATTTCAAGGCTGGAGAAAATGCATTACAGCATGACACCTGAAGAGCTTAATTTGCTTCGTGTATCAAAAAAAATTGACAGGTGACTTGACAGCTACACAAATCACTTTATGGGGAGAAGCAGCAGGTGCAAGATTTTTTTAATGCACTAGACAAAGAGATAATAAGAACCAATGGCTAGAAGGTGAAGCAAGGTATTTTTCTTAACAAGGGTGATTAAATAATAAAAGAAACTATTAAGGAAATTTGTGATTACCCTATCGATACTTTCAATCAAGATCAGGTATGCCTCTAGGAGACACTAGTCAAACAAGTTATTAGGTTTGATGCAATGGTTGCTGAGTGAAATTTAGCAGCCTTTAATATAGATAAGGTCAGACAAGATGATCTAATGGTCCCTTCTGGCTTTAAGCTTTTTGAATCTGTAACAACTTTTGTGCTCAAGTCTTAGCAAGTCCAGGGCTGTCTAACAAAATCCAGTTTAAAACTGTAAAAAAAAAAGGATCTAAATAGTACCCAATAGAATAAAAAGTTTGTTCCCCTTATTTATATGTTATACTGGTATCTATTTTGTATGCTGTTTGCTTTTATGCACATTTTTAATAAAGACCTAGATAAGTATTTCAAGCCTTCCCCACAAGAATACCTAGAAACTTTGATCTGCTGGCTGATAGCTGCTTTTAGCAAATGTATAACTTCTATACAAGTTTAAAGAAATTTGTTTAGACAAATCTGAATGTTTAAATTGATGAATGGGATAAGGACAACTGCAATTAGCAGTGCTGCCTTCTGAAAAATAAAATTTTAGTATACATTAATGCTCAGAACCATATACAGTGCACATTTCAGAAAGAATACAGTTTTAATATTAATGAAATTATTTTCTTGAAAACAATTCAGACAACTCTGGTATTAGAAAAGACTGTTCACATTAGAAGAAATTATGTTTAATGAAGGCATAATAATATGGACAATTTAAAAAGTAAATACAAATACAATCTATAGATGATAGGATGATATCTTATTTTCTCTAAAATATTGAAAATACTGAAAAGAAGCATTGGAAATTGCACAGAATATGCTTCCGGAAATGAACATGAGATGCATATAAAAAGAAAAAAAAATCCCTCCCCCCATTCTTAGATATGTGACCCATTATAATGGAACCAAGTTTTCTCTCAGTTATCTTCCTGTTTATTCATGAAAGGAAGAATGGAAATTATTCTTTAAACAAACATGCTATTCTTAAAAACAAATGAAAAATATCCTCGCAAATTCCAGTAGCCTCCATGCTCCCAAGAGGGTAACAGGCAGGTAGAATGGAGACATGTGATCTATAATTACATGCATTACCAAGGTCTCTTATTGAAAACATGGTTTCAACAGTGCCAAGTTTTACATTTGCTATACATGCACCATTTTTTTTTAAATAAAACATTTCATTGTTTGTGAGACACTTTTCTGGAAACTACAGAAATCTGAGAAACTACAAAAGTCAGAAAAACAGTAATTTACATTGCTTAGTTAAAAGATATATTTTAGGCCAGAACTGTACTTCGCCACTCCAGGAACAGACAATAACCTAATCCCTCCAGTGTAGCAACTTGCACATATTTCCTTAGTCAGCTAATTTGCCCCCAAATCTTTTCCTTTTCAAACCAAAAACGGTTGTTAAAACCCAAATTATCTGGGGTAAAAGCAATCATGTGGCATCCAATTCAGTCCAACTTTGGCCATACCTCAAGAAGCAAATAGTTTAAAATGCTACTTTGAAAAGTGGCCTTGTTTAGACCTATGTTTATTATGTTAAAAATGAGTTTCAGAATAATCTGCTCAGATCATGGTTCTAACTGCAAATTCTGCTGAGGAGCTAAGAATGCAGCTGTCCTCTTTCCTACTTGAGCATCTTTACTAAAGGTTCTGCACCTTAACCTAGCCCCTTTGTTTTCTGCTAAGCCCTTTTGCTTTTATTTGCACAAATATTATTGAGAAGAATTTTGTGCACAATTTTGTCAGCACTGGTCAAGGAAGGACATGGTTCACTTCTCTCCATTAACTATGCTAGCTCCGTAAGACTAACAGCAGTAACATTAATGAAACAGTAAACTTTTTTAAACAGTACATCTGTTGACACAAATCTGTTGAGTGATGAAGTTCTAATTTTATATAGCCACTTTTCATACCCAAACTACACAGATAATAGTGCTTTACCTTGCAGACTGAAAAAACATGAAGAGTAGAGGAGAAAAACAACGAAACAAAACATAATTGCAGTTTCAGGATCTTTTCCTAAATGAAAAGCAAATTTTCTGAAACCTTCAAAGACTGTAAACTGTAAACACTATCTATATATGCCATAGTCCATCAAAAGTCTGCTTTAAATAATGTCTTAAGATGATCTGCTGAATGGGGTGATTCATTACTGATTTACAATATTGGAGCTAGATTATATACTACATATTAAAATATTCTGTATCCAGCGTTGCAAAACCTCATTTGCCCATGTCAAGCAAGAAATTTCCTTGACTAAGTACAACCAATGTAATTAGTTTCTGCAGACTCTAGCCTTTCATTTTAAAAGAAAAGGAAGTTTCTACCATACACTAGGAAAACTTAAATATTGCCTAAATCACACAATGAGTATAGTCATGTCTGTCACACTGCCAGGTCTGTACAGGGAAGTGCTATTCCACTCAGCTGAGAAGATGAGTGAATGCAGGGGCAGATAAATCTGGTAGTCACTTCTCTCTAGTTATCATCTGGCTTTCTAAGGTAACCTACTGCTCCTCTTGACCAGAGGCTGACTGACACCTCCTGACCATTTTTGGGGTTTTTTGCTGTTCTCCCGCCCTGGCGGGGGGTCGGGCTAGAAGATCTACTAGGTCCCTTCCGACCCTTAATCTATGAATCTATGAATCTGA